ATTTCCGATAGCCTGTTATGGCAATCCAAATAGATGAAGGCAACCAGAAATTTCAAAACAATTTTGTCTTGATCACTATAAAATGTTTTCAATTCTGAAAATCAAGCCCAAATGAGAACGTGGATTCATGATGCAGATACTTTCTGAATATTGATCTCCAAGGCTCATGTTCATCTAAACAACCTTTGGAAATTGTGACTTTGTTTCCAATTTCATGGAACATAAGTATTTATTTATTATTTAGTATTTATTTGTTGTATTTATTATTTTTATTTTATGTGTATAGGCATATTGCCTGCATGTATGTGAGTGCACCCGTGCCATGCAATGAGGCAGAGGTCAGTAGAGGGTTTCTGATTCCCCTGGAACTGGAGTTAAGGACGGTTCGTAGCTGCCATATGGGTGCTGAGAATCGAATCCGGGTCCTCTGCAAGAGCAGTCAGTGCTCTTAACCTCTGAGCCGTCTCTCCAGCCCCATATTACTTACGTTTTATGTTGCTCTCAGAAAAAGCAGCATGAGCAAGAAGGGTTTCTTTTGGCTCACAGTTCGAGGATGTAGTCCACCAGAACATGAGGCAGCTGGTCACGTGGCATCCACATTCAGAGAGCAGAGAGAGAAGAAAGCTTGTGCTCGGCTCCCTTTCGCCTTTGTATTACCACCTGCGTCTGTGGGATGGTGCCGCCCACGTTCAAAAATGAGTCTGCCCTGTTCGGTTAGACCTTTCTGGAAATACTCTTGGAGATACAGAAGTTGTGTTTCCATGGTGTTTCTAAATCCCATCAAGTTAGCAATCGATGTTAACCATCACAGTAAGGTAGCTCATCCATGAGAGAGGAATCTGCACTTTGTACCAGCTATTCAAGAAAGGGCAAAAACTGAATCCTAGAGGGAAGCGTCTGACTCTCAATAGGTTCATGGTCTGGTATTAAGCATGCTTCCAAGAGAATGAAATAGGGCGTCTGATAAGCAGGCCCATTTCTACTCCAAGACCAGAAATTCTGTTTTAATATAAGTGAAACCCAGAAACTTGTATTCTAAGCAACCCAGAGGCTTATATGTTCAAACTATTTGAGAACTGATCTTTATAAGCCTATGATTATTCTTCTAAGAACACACACAGACATACACACACCACACACACACCACACTTACACACAACACACACACATCACACACATACCACATACATACACACACCACACATTCCCCCCACACTACCCCCGCACACCACACACAATACTCACACCACACATACATACACACATGCACACACACACTACACATACACACACCACACACACCACACACACGTACACACACCACACATACACACACCACACACACCACACACATACCACATACATACACACACCACACATGCCCCCACACACCCCCGCACACCACACACACTACACACACCACACACACATACATACATGCACACACACCACACATACACATGCCACACACACCACACACACCACACACACACACACACACACGTACACACACCACACACACCACACACATACCACATACATACACACATCACACACGCCCCCACCCCACCCCCACACCACACACACATACACACACACACACATACACACACCACACACACCACACACATACCACATACATACACACACCACACATGCCCCTGCACCCTCCACACACACCACACACATATATACACACACGCACACACCACACATACACACACCACTCACCACGCACATACCACATACATACACATACCACACACGCCCCCACACCCCACACACACACAACACACACCACACACACACACACACACACACACACATGCACACACACACACACAGTTTTGGATATTGGACTCACAGCTTCTCGCGTGCCAGGCAGGCACTCTACCATTGGACTATATTCTCAGCCCTATTTCATTCTATCTTACCACATATTCTCTGTCTCTTTGAACCTAATATTTACACAGTGAAATCACAGGAAGGTTGGGGCAGAAGTGAAAATATCTTTGTGCTGATTGCATAGACCCACCAGCAACTTCCAGTTATATTTTCACATTCTCACAGCACTAGATACTATTAGAAATCCCTCTGCTTTCAGGCTTGGCTTTCACAAAAATGTGACTTGGTATTTAAGGCAATTGTAGAGTTTTAAGATTTTAAACGGAACATAGCAAATCAAACTTATGTGATGTAATAGAACTGATTGGTTAGCAGGAGTTACCTGGAATGCCAGAAGATTCTCTGAGGAGGGTCCCAGATCAGGCAGAGGGTGTGCTGGATTCAGTCAGTAATGTCTGGCACAGGCACAAGTCAAAGATAAGGTTAAAAAAATATCACTTCCTTCTAGCTCCACTTCAAAGCATAGTACCTCCAAAGAAGGAAGAACATCTAAATCGATTTTCAAATGATATTTGTATTTGAAGTTTCCACTAAAACTTCTGCTGGAACCTTGCTTTCCATTCTTGCCATTTCCCGAACTAGATTGAATATGTGTTCCAGTGTCTACATGTTCCTGGTCCAAATGAAGAAAGAAAGACCTGAAATAAGACTAGCAAACTGTAAATGGTGCTGGATTCTGCTGGTAATGTGATTTCAATGTAAATAAAGGAATCTTAAGCTATTCCTTCTATCATATAGGCCCTTCTCCACCCTGTCTAATGTGGTATGCAGGGTGTGTGTGTGTGTGTGTGTGTGTGTGTGTGTGTGTGTGTGTGTGGAGAG